GAGGGGATGCCGACTCCCCAGCTGGGGCTGCGAGAAGAAATGAAAAACAGTATTGGCATGTGCAATCACATTCCTACTTACACTTGAGCAGTAACCCTTCCTTTCATCCCTAAAAGGTGCAAAGATCTACTGGGACGCTGTTATTTTGGAAATATATATATATATTCAAGCACTGTGAAGGCAGAGAAAGGATGATGAGAAAGGGTGGCATTTTTCCAATGGCAAAAAAAAAAACCTTGCTGAGACCTGAGTGATGACATGCAGGAAATACTGGCCTGAACATCACATCTGGGAGCTGCTCTAAGTTAAACAGCATTCAAAGGCTAAAAAGCTCTGAGATAGCAGTGTTAAGTCACATTCGTATCTTCAGGTTATCCTAGTTTAAAACAAAAATGCCTACTTGTGGTTAACACTCAAGTGTAAATCCACCACCACTGGTCACCGTTGTTTGCAAAAGGCTGGGTGGCAAACTTCTCACCCAGGAAAGCCATAGTGGACTGGCCATCTTTGGACTTAAAGCAAGCCTCAGTTTTCTGCTCTGAAGACATGCATTAAGACACAGTTTGGATGGCATCCTAAGCCACAGTTTATCCTTCTGTGTGGCTTGAGAGACACAACCTTTCTGCAGCCCTACACATGTGCCTCAGCATGGGGTGGTTGTCCCAGCTCAGCTGTACACTAACACCTGACAGTCTTCACCCCAAGGCACAGAGGGAGGAATATTTCTCAGTGCCAGGATCAGTGCCCGGCACACCCTAAAGGTCTGTTCTTCCGTGTCACCACCTACGTGCACATGCAAGAGAAGGAGGGTCCTCCTTCATCCAGCAAAAACACCAGCAAGCTCCAGTTGTGAGCCTCATCCCTTCTGCATCTGGTCTCCAAGATGGCAGCGGTATTTTTAGATGGGTGATGAATAGGTTTGTTCAAGTGTTATGCAGTTAAATATAACATAAATGTTCGTGGCTTGCACATACGCATATAAAGAAGTAAGGAAAAATATTTAAAGATCAAAATGCAGCATCATGGGATCTCTCAACAGTCAAAGTTCTCCCTAATATTCCTTTCTTTTTCTACTTATTTTTCCCCATCTGAAGGGGAAGGAACTAAAAGAGAAGAACTAATAGTCTAAATGAATCCCCAAAACTTTCTGAAAAAAACCCAAACAGATCTATTTCCCTTCTCCTCTAGGTCTAGTCTAGAAATACAGGAAACTTTAGGAAAAACTGAAAAAAAAGTCTTGTGAAATATTTTCTCTAAGATTAAACAGTGAAATACTATCAGGCTACTGTTTAAAATCCTATTATTTTTGCTGTGCTTCAGTTCTTCCCAATGTTCTCTATATAATAAGCATTTCAAATGAAAATACATTATTTTAAAATACACTGTAGTAGGCAATTACAATTCCTGAATACTAAATGCCAATATAACATAGGCCAGATTTATTGTTGTTCCTTAACTTTGTGCCATGTTCATTATATTTTAATGAATAAGGTTTCACATTAATTTTTCAAGCCTTTTCCTTGGAATCACACATTACCGCTGTAATTGCATTGCAGAATTAGGTCTCTATTTACATTCTCCTCCCAAGTCCTGGAGATGAAACCTTCCTTTGATTTTTTTCCCTAAGTCAGCAACATCACCTCTTCTTCCTATTTTCGGGAGAGTGCCCCAGGGCCAGCAGCACTATCTTGCCCCACTGCCGCCAGGCAGGGCTGTCCCAGTGACAATCAACGCCCGCTGCCTTCTAAGCCTGGGAGATGACCGCAGAAGCACCAGGCAAGCAGGGTTTGCAGGGACCAGAGCCACATCTGCAAGTCTGGTTGCATCTGCCCAGCCAGAAGGACCCCTCAATGGCAGCCTGGGTGACCTCCTCCTCTGCAGCATTCCCAGAGGGTGCTGGTCTTCCTCTATGGTCGTGTCCACCATCCTACCTTTCCCCAACTTTCTCTCACCTCTGTCACCCCTCCAGGGAAACACAGGTCACCTCAACAATCTTGTCTAATATGCTGACACCATACATGACAGCAAATGAAGGGAGGAGACAAATGAGGGCCATCATGTGTAGGGCAAGGTGGTGGTATCACAAGACGCGAGGCTTTTCACCTTGTAAATCTGTTTTCCACCTGGGACAGACTGAGAAGAAACTAAGAAGATTTCAGCTGAAATATAGGCGCTGGGCAGTAAACAGGTCCTATTTGCCAGCTGTCGTCTTCCAGGGGACAGATTTGATTTCCCAGTCCCAAAGTCTCCAGCAGCTTGGCAGCTGGGCACACCACCACATGGGAGGATGCTGCGCACAACAGAGAACAGAGGAACCCTTTCCTCTGCACGCAAGCACTTGTTAATTGTAGTTATTCTGCATACTTGCAATACTTTAATTATTAATGTCGATAAACTATAGGAAATCTCATTCAATTAGAATTTTTTTTTTTCCTGAGATAAAATTAAATTGCTTTATTGCAAGATCACTCTTTGTGCTCTTTTGCAGAGAACAGAAATGAAGTCCTGGCTCCTGGGATACTGTAAGCCAGTGAGACATTGCAGACACGCGCCCAAGGACTGCCCACTCTGTTGGTCCAAGTTTTCATCCTTGCCACTCATTCCTGGTTGCTATGTCCTCTTCCTCCTCTTCACAAGTGCTATCCTCTTAATTCCATCCTGTCCAGAGAGTCTCCCTCATCACCTTCCTTCATCCGCACAAGAGCAGGGGCTTTGACTTTCTCCTACTTTCTCCATGCCACAGCTTGCCATATCCTCTTTCCGCAACACCACTTCTAAAGCTCTCCATTCCCCTCACACCACCAGGGCAACAATAAATCCTCCTTTGCCTACTCCCTCCCCACCAACGCGCCCTGATCCCCAGGTGTTCCCCCCAGCTTCTCCTCACTGCTCAGCATTTCTGCCCCCACACTGCAGTTCCCCAGCCTCCCTCCACTGCAGAGGTGTAGCTGTAACCTTCAGGTCACAGCCTCTGCTGATGCCAGAGACAGATATACAAGCACTGAACAAAGACCAAACCCCCTTGTACCTCCCCTGACCCTCCATTTTCCTTCCATTTCACGACTTTTCCCCCAGATTCGCAGGTTTTTGCCCACCAACATGCTGCGCCTCCCTCCATGTTTCACAACTCAGTTTTGAACTCTGCACCGGCACTGCTCCACAGTAAAGATTTCTACCCAACGGAGCATCAAGCCTTGCAAGCTTTGCCAATTACCATTCCTCCTACTGCTGCTTCACTGACAAGCACCCGCTTGCAGAGGCTGGGGAAGTACCCTCGACGGTTGTCCAGAGGGCTTTCTGGAGGGCTACCAGTGTGCTGGAGGTGCCAAGCTCTCTGACACCTGCATCCAACTCCACTGATGTGCTCTCTTCTTTGAGTTGGCCACCCTGAAGAGTCTTTTGCCTGTGTTTGCAGTCAACAGACATACAGAAAGCAAACCCTATCAACCAAGCATTTGAATCTAAGGTAGATGATAGATTTCTGGAAATCAAATTTTAAAAGGGAGGTGTAATTAAGGAGTCTGGCTTTTTGGGTTGTATACAGAAGTTCAAAAAAATCCAGAATGAAAAAACAAAACCCTGAAATATCCACAGATTACTTACTTATCAAAACACAACCATACGTACTTTAAGAAAGAGAGCTGTATCATGCATAATTTAGTTGGCATACAGACAGTACTGTTGTATGTTTCACGCGCGTGAAATAAATACGCATAAATTACTTAATCTGAATAACACCAAGCACCTGATTCCAGAGACGGAGCAACACTTCACGCTAAGGCATGTAAGTGCTCTTGGCTTGTTGATGTTTCACCAGAGCAGAGAAAAATTAGCAAGTTGAAAACAGAAATTCACATTGTGGCTTGTAGACAAACATCCATGGTACATGCACAGGGCTCATAAACAGCAAATAAACTGAGCCCTGATATGATGGAGCTACAGAGGAGACTCCCATTGCTACAGAAAACACCAGGAAAATGAACACGAGATACCTATACGTATTCTTTATGATGTTGGCAACACAGAATTCAGTAATAAGCACAACAGTAAGCTGGACAGCCTGTATCTTCATAGATTTCAGTCTTTTCAATTTCAAAATTTCATAACAGATCTCAGGAAAAAAATACTTGACAGTATTTCTGACAGATCTCAGGAAAAAAAAAAAAACATCACCCACCAAAATTTTGTCTGAATGTTTCTGTTTTCCCACCAAAGCTTCATACCTTTAACTGTACCGTAAACATGTGATTGGAAGGCTACTATCTTAGGAAAAAAAAAAAAAAGGTCCTTCTGGTAACTTTATCTCCATGTCACATGAGGATTCACATGACATTTGCTTCCTACAATTTATTTGTGCTGAAACTAAAGCTTTCAGATCTTGACAGATATCACAGATTCTCACATTTCTCAATAAGTGTTTTGATTAACAGCAAATAATTTCTCTTCCAGGCACAAATTCCTCTGGTGCAGCTTCGAGTTGTGGTTCTTTCCTCTGCTGGAACTGGAGAAGGAAAGGCAGGACGAAGTACCCTCTGTAACACAGGTCGAACTAGCTCTGCTTTAAATTTTTGACATATATTTCCTTCACGTATTGCAACCTTCAGTTTTTTTGCCTGCCCATCTCAAAATAAGCATCCCAGTCAAATCAGACAGGACATCAATACGACAGACATTTGAAAGTCCAGCCAAGCTGTGAGGTGCTCTCAAACACAACGTAGGGAAGATGAAATAAAGCATCTTTCACCTTTAAAAATGAGAGCAGTGTAGGCAAACAAGTCATAGGCATTACTACAAGACTGCACAAGACTTCTTTCCTCCTATGGTTTCAGCTTCAGCTTTCAAACTGGCCATGGAGCATAAGCATTGCTAGATCAAACTCAACATCTCCTTCAACATTACATAGGCCCCCTCATCTCTCCCCTGCACAACCAGGCAATGCAAGCAGCTTTGTTTTACTCCAAGGAAAGAAGCCCATACATTATCAACAACCTTGTACTTACTGAGTTCAGCAATGCTCCCCACACGCGTTGCAAGTAAAGACTGCTCGATGGTCCTTAGCTCTGACTGGCTGAACATCTGCACTTCCCCAGGCTTGTTTGACCTTTGCTGGTCTTTGTGAAGGTTCAGGCTGTCTGGCAGGCAGAGAACACCTACAGTGGATTAAAAAAAAGAAGTCCAATGTGATTTCAGCTAGTGTGGATGACTTTGCTGCCACCACCACATCATTTTGGGCACATTGCAAGATGAAGCCTGCATGTGCAGAGCTCAGAGACAATCAACATATATAACTCAATGTCACAGATGTTTCATGCTCTCAGAATTGGCCCTCATTAGCTATTCTGAATATCCTCAGGTCACTTATGATGTCACTTAGAGATAATTCTTATAGAAAATCCTAGAGAATTGCCCAAGGAGGAGGTCAAGAGGGTTCCAAAGAAGCCTCCTAAAAACTACTCCAAACCCATACAAATTTATTAGAAAATGGTATCTCAGTGATACAATTCTTAAAGATTGACTTTAAAATGATACATGAGACAGATGATACATTTACAGGATTCTCCCGCAGGGAATCCCACCGACAATTGCCATAATAACAGACAGTGTCAAGATGCTCGCTGTGTCATTGATGGGCTTATTGAATTTCTTTTGTAAATACAACTCCTGGCATTTGAACTGCTTGGGCCTCAAAAGCTCATTATGCAGAAGACCTTACAGCTGTGAATTTTTGTGGGTCAGGACATAAGTAAAGCTACTGACAAAATCATTTACATACACATTCAGGCACAAAAGTCACTTTCTGCCATGACATCTAAACCCTCAGGTGTAGATAGAGGGCACACGTTTATTAATCAAAATCACTGTCATGCTAAAACCCAAAACTTATTTACAAGAGCAAACGCTACATTAACATCCTTGGGTAACATATGGATGGAAGTTCATCTTGGAGAGCAAGCTTTCCTCCCTTCCTGTGGTCTACAAACAGCTGGCTATGGCCGTGCTCTCCACAGCATCACCTTCCCAGTCCCACTGGGACACACACAGGTGGAGACCCACTGGAGGCAGTGGAATTGTACCTCTTTATGACGATTACATTTCATCTTATCTCCAATTGTGTGATATGCAACAATTACCTTTGAAAAGAAACCAGCATAGGAAATGTACTTTTTCCATTAGCTTTTCCTATTCCTCCCTTTCAAGTACAGGGAAGAAGTTCTGCCCTTATGGGCCAAGCAGACTTTACAAAATACGTTAAGGAAGAGGTACATATTTAGTGTTTTTCTTCAGCGGGAAGAACTTTAGATTCTAGTTTCCCTTATGGCGTCTAACTGTACTGATCAATAATTCTACCAATAGGTATAACGTTGGAGGTCCCAGGCAGAATGGCCACCTTAATCCCTGTTTACTTCAGTTATGAAACAGCCCCACAAACATCACCGCATTAGAGCATTGCAAGACCAGGTAACGCGCCTGAGAGGGAATGCTTTTCAGCCTTGTTAGCTCCACCAAACTGCTTTGGATTCTCTTCTCACATCCATCTTCTCCCTGCAAACAGTTTAGTCTAAAAGTTCTATTTGTAGCACAGACCTAAAAACACCCATCCTGGGAGGAGAGAGACAACGCAGGTTCAGTGAGCACGATCAAAACAAAAAGCACTGGGAAAACCAGGACCAAAGGTCTTCTCTAGCATGGCCGGAAGACAGCAATTTAAACCAGGATCACCCTCCACATGCAATAGCAACACCAGAACAAACTCTCTAACAGCCTGTTTAAATGCTGGCGGTAGAGCAGGAGCAGCCTGAATCCCAGTCCTGGCTCTGGTCCTGGGGTTGTAACAACCGCAGTAAAGCCATATGCGCATGTGGAAGGTCACGAGAGAGGAACACGACTCGCAAGGAAGCACCCTGGAAAGAGCGAGCGGGACATCTGACACAGCAACAAGGAGGAAAGAATTAAAAGCAGAGAGAGGTAAGGGATAAAAAGCAACAACAGCTTATCAAACAAGCTCTCCAAATTTTCCTGCTATCGCTCAGTGGCTGACTCGCATAAATACTTGGCGGACTGATCAACATTTATATTCTGGGGATGTACAGAGCTCGAGAAGTACAACACCTGGATTTAAAATGAAGACTTGCTTGTATATTTTAATAACTATTCTCTCTTGGTAATCTTTCTCATTTACTTAGATTACTCTTTATAATTTTAATGGATAGAAATTAAGGCAGAGAAGACTCTTCCCTGCAGAAAACAGATGCATAACTGATCTAAACTTGAAGAGATTTCTAAAAAAAACAAGAAATAGAGCACAAACAGCTTTGACATCTTTAAAAAATGCATATCCAACAAGAAAATCCTTTTGAGTGAAAACACACCTTAAGCGTGGAAAAAATATTGTTTTAAGATACCTATACAAATAAGATTCAAATAGTTTAAAATCATAATACATATAGTAGATACTTCTCTGAGTGACTAAAGCAGTGGGATATAGACATTTTATCATCTGCTTTGGCTATGACTCCATTCCCACAGCCGGGCCTTTTCCTTACAAACAGCTCTGATTAATTACTCGGTTCTTTAGTGAGGGGAGTGTATTCTTAGGTTCTTGGATGAAAAGTGCAAATGAAATGTAAAATGTGCCATTGTTCGAAAACTTAGCAAATTATAGGATGTGTCACACCAAAGGGTTTTCCTTGGGTTGAAGATTAGTAAAGACATGCAATAGCCAGGCATCTGATACTCATATGCCAGCTTCAAAACTATAATTGACAACAGCGGGTGACCGGTGGGGTGATGGAAGATTTGTTTATAACCCTCATAATTTTGCTGGATCAGATCCGGGTTTTGCCAGTATGGAGAAAGGGAATTCTACGGCTTCGGCATACAACTTTGCCAATTTTCTAGCTTCAACTGTTTTCCCCAAAAACGATTAAAGAAAAGTGAGTAAAAGGCTTTCTAGAACAAAAACCTGCTCTCTTTCTATCAGTGTTTGATGTAAAGCTCAAACTCACTGACGAAAGACTATGGCAGGGAATTGCTCCCTGACAAGAAGAGAGCACACCCAATTGAGGGAGGGGAAAAATGGTAAAAATCTTGTGATCATAAATATCTTTTTTATAAATAGAAATGTTTAAATAGCCACCACCAGCATTCACTGGTTTGGCTACAGTTCAACTTCCTTATTTTAATTCTCTGCCAATTGGTATTACCCACTTGCTTTATCAGCTGTGGCTTCAGCCATACTGTGTTGTACTTGACAAACAGGTGAGGGTCTCTCAAGTTTCCAACAGCCTGAAAAACAGGACTTTTTTCCCCTCTTGCTTTTCTGGTTGTTGCTGCCAATGCTATCTGTCATTTCACACCAAATATTTCTGTGCAGTATCTTCAGAAATGAACAACAGTATCTGTCTTTTCTCTCAATAGGCACTGTTCAGTGTCCTTCCTTTCTGCACCACTACTCAACCATGTGCGCTTCTTTGCCCATTACTTTATTCCTCTTCTTCTCTCCGATCCACTAAAGTGGAAATTAAGCATTCAGTTGTTGCCTGATGAATACAGAGCCAGACTCATACGATACACCCCTGGCTGCTCTGTGCTACCCAGCAATGTACAGCAGCCATACGTTGCATCTATGACTGCTGTGAACCACTGGAGCAGGGCGAGACAAGTAAAGCACTGAAGTGTATTTGGACTTTGTCACCTCTTTCGGTGCTTCCCTTCATCTGTTCCCTCCTCTGGGCTGGGATCTGTCTAGGACTTGTCTGCAAGGAGACATATCCAGAATGAGCCATACCCAAAATTGTTTTATTCACTTTGCCCTTGGTCTCAGGTTACCCTGCAGTCTGTAGGTAAAAGACTGAAGAGAAATACAGAGAATACATTTTAAAATCAGCAGGATGCAAAGAAAAAAAAAAAAAAAAAAAAATCAGTGACGAGCTCCTAATGCTCCCCCTCCTAAATCTCTAGAGAAAAAACAACATCATAGGGAAAATCCAATATACAATTAATACACTCCACATTTTTCCTGCCCTCTGGGCTCAGCTGAAACACAAGCCAGAGCTCAGTCCCCAAAGACTTAAAATCCCAAACCAAAGTATTGCACAAAATGACAAAGGGAAGACTGAAGACACCCAAACTTATAAGAGAAGCGGTTATTTTAAACCTTCATGCAAACTCATCCGAAGTCAGGGGTACCCGGTAACTCTGTTCCAGTTCCCCCATGCACATTGCCACCCCTTGGGTTTGGTGGATGCACCACCCTCTACTGCAAGGCAGGTTTCGGCACACATACTCATTTCAGAGCTTGCCACAGAGCTGCCCATGCTGTCCCTGCAGCGTGACAGAAGTAGTGTGTGGGCATCATGCAAACATCTCAAAAGCAGTGCTCAGGAGCAGCCCTAGCAGAACTTTTCTCTGCTCCTCAGTGCCTCCCCAGAAAAAACAGCCTGAAGGACCTAATGGTCAAGAGCAACTCCAACACCTGACGCAGCAGTGGTTGTGTGACCTCTTTGGCTTTCAGGCAGGAGAACTATGGGGCTTGTAGCCAAAATCTTGCCTAAATACAGAGGAATCATCAATAAATCTAAGCCCCCTCCAGAGTTCCTCTATTTAGACAGATATTTGCACTTATTTATATACCAACTGTTGTAAAACATTTGATTCCCGAGGTGCTGGCACCTATGATGCCCACACTCCAGGACTGGTAGTTGGACTTCACTTTTTTTCAGGCATAGAAGGCTGCTGCCTTTCCATGGACCATGTATTGCTCTTGGCACCGCACAGCTTTTTGCATCATGCAAAGGCAGATCAAAGGGCAAAACAGCAAAAAATAAGACAAGCAGTCTTTTGTATACCACCATGTATACAATGTGGACAGCAAAAAACCAGCAAGTCTGTTTATTTGGAATGGGAAGTAAAGTTTGGGGCAAGGCTGTGTTGCATGCTCAAACATCCCATAGTTTGGTCCCAAACCAGCTTTGCCACCTAAAGCAGCATTTTCAACTGTGAGTCCATCTCAGGAGAAAGAGAACGAGAGAGACAGAACCTAAACTTGCAGTTCCAGTTACTGTGGGTCCGAAGGTACTGCTCCAACCTTCCTCTTCTCACCTATTGTAAATATGCTTCAGTACCACACACCTCCTATATTTGAAGCTTC